CCACACCTGGTCTGCCCCACATCACTCCCTGAGCAGCACGTCTCCACAGCTTGACAAGCAGGAAGTGCGTCCTTCAGTGACTGTAGTCAGTGAGTACCCACATGGTTCCACAGTTTTTCGGTGCTCACACATTGTCTAGGCCAAGAGGTGGCATCTTTGCAGCTGGGCCTTGTAGATACACCATGATGTACCTGGTTGGACACAGCTCCAGTACTCGGTGCTGAGCATAAGCCCCAAGGGTTTCAGGTAGCTTGTCTCCATTCCGTCTCACATGTCATCAGTCACTCTATCCTCTCTGGCACATACATGGTGTTGGACTTGGGGGGCATTGGGCATGAGTTGGAAAGGGGATAAAGGGGGCAAATAGTTCCTCTTCAGGGCACACAATTATGTCATCTTTCAAACTAGGGACATGAGTGTTGCTAACATTGTGCACCTGATCCTGGAATCCCTGGAGTAAACAGCCACAGTTCCTATTTTTTGTTCACCACTAAAATCACCTTTATCATTTGTGAATTTACAGATCCCATCCATCATCCTAATGAGTTTGCTATAACACCCTCTAAACCATCAGTAAATGGGGACATGCTGTGAGATTCAAGCTGATTCTGTTACTAACACCGCCAACATGTCCCTCCTGAGAATTCCCTGGGAGGGTCCTTGGTGTAGCCTTGGTAGAGATGGGAAGAGGAGATTAAGTTTTAAACCAGACTTTCATTTTCCCCTTCTCAGTTTTCTCTTTAATTTTCCTCCTGAAAAAAGTGTTTGAAGTTTTAGGCCAGTATGAATCAAATCCTAATGTGGACAATACCAATAAATTATGTTTAGTCCCTGGCTGTATCTGATGTTTTTTCTAAATTGGTTATTTTAGACAATGAATGGCCCATAATGGTTTTTTGTTGTTGTTTTTGAGATGGAGTTTTGCTGTTGTCTGCCAAGTTAGAGTGCAGTGGCATGATCTCACTGCAACCTCTGCCTCCCAGGTTCAAGTGGCTCTCCTGCCTCAGCATCCCAAGTAGCTGGGATTACAGGTGCTTGCCACCATGCCCGTCTAATTTTTATATGTTTAGTAGAGACAGGATTTCACCACGTTGGTCAGGCTGGTCTCGAACTCCTGACCTCAGGTGATCCAACTGCCTCAGCCTCCCAAAGTGCTGGGCTTACAGGCATGAGCCACCATGCCCGGCCCATAATGGGTTTTAATCTGGTACTATTCTCATTTCTCATTTCACAATGAGGAGCAAAGCAGCAAAATGTTTCCTTTAAGATTATAGCAGCCAATGAAAGACAGGAACTTCTCATTGATTGAGCACCTATTATGCTCACATTATTGACCACTATACATATGTTGCCTCATTTAATTGACACAGTGATCCCCTCAAGTAGGTAGTGGTGTTCTGCTTTTATAGTGGAGGACACTGAGACTCAGCAAAGTTGAGGAACTTACTGAAGACAAAGCAACTTGCCAGTGCACTACAGGTTGACTGTTCTAGAAATTTTGGTTCAAAAAGCAAAGAGGAAGGGGTGATAAACAGTTGCCCCTCTGAAAGGCCAGTGACTTCAAATGGGAAAGAGAAGGGCTTCAATCTCCCTCAGGAAACATAGTCGTGGCAAAAATTAAGGCTGGTGGTCTTCAGATGCATCACTCCACTTCACTGTTACTGATAAAACTTAGAACCTCCTATGGCCATGGTTGAGAGTAAACTGATTTTCTGAGATAAACGAGATTTGAAAGAGGGTGGGAATCATATTTTGATTGAGTTCCTACTTTAAGTACTAGATCAAATCAGCTTGGGGTAACATATACTTTGAGTCTACCTGACTCAAAGCTGAGGTTCTGAGTATTTCACTCTGAAGTCTGAGAAGTCAGGGGCTGCACACAGAGGGTGCTCACTCCTTCTCAGCACCTCTTTTGCTAGTCTTATGGAGCCAGTGTTTTTCTCATTCCACTTTTTCTGCTCTGTGCACCCAGCACAGAGTTCTGGTCTCTCAAGATGGGACAAAACCTTATACATATTACACTTCTATCTAAGAATTTGTAAACAGATGAGCTGCCCTTGATATGTACATCACCTATTCCAAGGGGCCAATGGGACTTTCATGTGCATCCTTGATTCAGTTGCCCAGAGACACTTGTTTCAACTTGAGCACTGCCCCGAGAGATGGCAGAAGGGCAAGCCCACGTTTCCCTTACCTGCAATACCTGCCACTGCCTGCAGTGAGGTGTGGCCTCTGGAGTGATGCATCTAGAGAGCACCAGCCTTATTTTTTGCCACGACTATCTTTCCTGAAGGAGATCGAAGCCCTTCTCTTTCCCGTTTGAAGTCAGTGTCTTTTCAGAGGGGCAACTGTTTATCACCACTTCCTCTTTGCATTTTGAACCAAAATTGCTAGAATAGTCAACCTGTAGTTCACTGGAATGACAGCTACACTGTGAGGCTAAATTTCTTCATGAAAATCTAGTCTCTGTTGTTTTCCATCTGCAATGTAGGACATGTTCCCCATGTGGTATGGTCAAGGAATATGAAAACACTGATCACTGTTACTGACAAAACTTAGAACCTCCTGTGGCCATGGTTGAGAGAAAACTGATTTTCTGAGATAAAGGAAGTTTGAAAGGGGGTGGGAATCACATTTTGATTGAGTTCCTACTTTAAGTTAGCCATTGTACCAACGACTTATCATAGTTTTCCTTACTCTATTTCAGAGTGACTCTAATTAGTATCTGATACTTTATAAATTGGAGAAGGAGAGACCTACTGGATACTGATTTAAATATGCAGTTCCTAAAGGAACGTGATGTTGTTGCGGGCAAACAGAAACCTCACTCCCACCTTCTCAGAGGAGAAATTTGTCTATTCTTTAGCCCTTGATAATAATACTTGAAAGGGGAAAGATTCTTAAACTTTTCTCTGAATTATGGCCCTGCCACTCCAGCTGGGTTTTTCTCTCAAAGGGAAGACAGTAATGAAGGGCCCAGAGGATCTGGCTATGTTGTCATGGTATCATTGAGCTGTAAGATGCCATGTATTTTCTGATTCTACAATCGCCTATTCAAGAGTACACTAGCTATTCTTTGGACAGGAGCCAGACAATGTGAGCTGTACATAAGAATTATTTTTGCGGTGTCAAAAGCCATTCTAGGTGGAATCCAAATGACCACTTGCCTTAGGCAGACACCCCCTCAGCTTCACTGCAGGTCCAGAGTCAGCCCAGGCCACAGTGAGAACCACCAGGAGTGGAAGCAACACTGTCTAGAACCTGCACATTGTCTAGAAGTGGAGGCCATTTTCCCCTCCTCCTCCTCCAACTTCAATGTAGAACAACCCCAGGAAGGAGTAGCTGGTGTGTTTCTGGCAAGGGCATATACTGTTGAATAAATAATCACCTGTTCACAGACCAACAAAATGCGTCACTCCTCACTGTCTGAACTCCTAGGATTGGCCGTAAGTCCTGCTATGAGAAGAAACATTTCTGAAGTACCTCTCTGGGATCATTCCCACATGGTGAATCATAAAGGGAGCTAGGAGACGGGCCCCATACTTTTCCTGTGTGTGCATTGTGATGCTCAGATATTACATCTAACCACTACTGCTTATGTCATAGGCTGGGAAATGCCAGTGACTTTAGGGTGAAATGATGAGTCCTTGGGAAATGAGTCTGATGACATCTGCCTTAGTCTTCATTCCTTGGATTGCTTTATTAGTTTTCGAGGGCTTCCAAAACAAAGTTCCACAAACTGGGCATCTTAAAACAGAAATGTATTCTCTCCCACTTCTAGAAGTGAGACATCTGAAATCAGGGTGTCAGCAGGGCCATGCTCCCTCTGAAGACTCCAGGGAAGGATCCTTCCTTGCCTCTTCCTAGCTTCTGGTGATTTCTGGGAGTGTTCCCCTGGCTTGTAGACACATCACTGCAATCTCTGCCTCTGTTGTTACATGGTCTTCTTCTCTGTGTGTCTCTTTATCTCTGTGTCTCCTCTCCTCTCATAAGGACATCAGTCATGTTGTATTTAACACATACCCCCAATTCAGTATCATCTCATCTTAATGAGAGGTGACAGTGTCCTGGCAACCCTCGCTAGCTCTCGGCGCTTCCTCGGCCTGGCGCCCACTCTGGCAACGCTTGAAGATCCCTTCAACCCGCTGCTGCACTGTGGGAGCCCCTCTCTGGGCTGACTGAAGCTGGAGCCGGCTCCCTCTGCTTGCAGGGAGTGAAGGGAGAGGTGCCAGCGGGAACCTGGGCTGCGCGCGCGCTTGTAGGTCAGTCCGAACTCCGGGTGGGTGCGGGCTCGGCTGGCCCTGCACTCGGAGCGGCCTGCCGGCGCCGCCGGCCCTGGGCAGTGAGAGACTTAGCACCCGGGCCAGCAGCTGTGGAGGGTGCACCGGGTCCCCTAGCACTGCCGGCCCACCCGCGCAGCGCTCGAATTCTCACGGAGCCTCAGCCGCCTCCCCACGGGTCAGGGCTCGGGACCTGCAGCCTGCCATGCCTGAGCTCCCCGCGCACCGTGGGCTCCCGCGCAGCCCGAGCCTCCCCGACGGGCGCAGTCCCTTGCTTTGCGACCGCTCAAGGGCTGAGGAGTGTGGGCGTGTGGCACTGGACTGGCAGGCAGCTCCACTCAGGGCCCTGGTGCGGGATCCACTAGGCGAAGCCAGCTGGACAGGCCAGTACTGATGCAGTCACTGCAGGAGCCCTGACTCCACAGCATGTTCGAGTTCATTCCTCTCCCGCTTCTCTGCAGTTTGGAGCTATTTCTCCTGGGACACTGAACCTGAACCCCACTGGAGTAGTCTCTGGCCCAGCAGCTACACCCACAGCTCAGTCTCTTCGACAGTCTTCTTTTGAGATACCTGATGATGTACCTCTGCCAGCAGATTGGGAGATGGCAAAGACATCTTCTGGTCAGAGATACTTCTTAAATCATGTCGATCAGACAACAACATGACAGGACCCCAGGAAGTCCTTGCTGCCTCAGATGAACATTACAGCCCCTACCAGTCCACCAGTGCAGTAGAATATGATGAACTCGGCCTCAAGTCCTCTTCCTGATGGATGAGAACAAGCCATGACTCAGGATGGAGAAATGTACTATATAAACCATAACAACAAGACTACCTCTTGGCTAGACCCAAGGTTTGACCCTAGTTTTGGTAAAGCCATGAACCAGAGAATCAGTCACAGTGATCCAGTGAAACAGCCACCACCCCTGGTTCCCCAGAGCCCACAGGGAGGCGTCATGGGTGTGAGCAACTCCAACCAGCAGCAACAGATGGGACTGCAGCAACTACAGATGGAGAAGGAGAGGCTGCCACTGAAACAGCAAGAACTACTTCGGCAGGAGTTAGCACTGCTTAGCCAGTTACCAACACTGGAGCAGGATGGTGGGACTCAAAATCCAGTGTCTTCTCCCGGGATGTCTCAGAAATTGAGAACAATGACGACCAATAGCTCAGATCCTTTCCTTAACAGTGGCACCTATCACTCTCAAGATGACAGTACAGACTGTGGACTAAGCATGAGCAGCTACAGTGTCCCTTGCACCCCAGATGACTTCCTGAACATGGATGCCATTTCTTTTGCCCAGTTAAATGTTCACCAATCATTTTAACTTAATACGCAGACTTAGAAGTCAGATGCTTCATGTCACAGCATTTAGTTTGTTCAACAATTGTTTTTTCAGCTGCCTTTGACCAGTGGAAAAACGTGATGTACTGGTCTCACAAGCCAAAAATGTTATATCTGATATTAAATACTTAATGCTGATTTGAAGAGATAGCTGAAACCAAGCTGAAGACTGATTTACTTTCAGTATTTTCTTTTCCTCCTAGTGCTATCATTAGTCACATAGTGACCTTGATTTTATTTTAGGAGCTTATAAGGCACAAGACAATTTCCATAGAAATATATTAATTATTGCCACATACTCTAGCATAGATTTCGGTGGATAAGTTTGTGGGTGTGCATTTTGTTTTGTTTTGCTGGGGTTTTTTTTTTTTGGTGGGGGTGGGAGGTAGTTTGTTGGTTGGTTGGTTTTGTCAGAACCTAGGCAAATGACCATAATAGTGAATCTGTTCATAGTTGTAGCTTGGGATGGTTATTGTAGTTGTTTTGGTAAAATCTTCATTTCCTTTTTTTTCTTTTTTTTTTTTACCACCGTATTTAAATCTTGATTATCTGCTCTCTCTTTTATATACATACACACACCCAAACATAACATTTACAATAGTGTGGTAGTGGAATGTATCCTTTTTTAGGTTTCTCTACTTTCCAGTTAATTTTTAAAATGGTAGCACTTTGTATGCATTTAGAATACATGACTTTAAGTAAAGTTGCCTGGTGTTTCCTGAATGCCCAAGAGAGAGGAAGAAGCTGACAGAAGTATAGAGATAGGTAGGGATCTTGCAGACAGATGCCGAGCAGGCCCCACAGCTGCCCAGGGATGATTATGCCTCCCCACCTCCTACCTCTTCTATGTCTTAGTGGTTTGCAGTAGCGGCCGACCTGCTGGAAAAGAATCTTGCTGAGATCCAGAACCTGCGCCAGCATCTGGAGAAGTCCATCAGCCTCAGTGTCCGCCTGAGGGAGAGGCTGGAGCATGTGCTCAGCAATGGTGACCAAGGAAAAGGTAGGAAGGCAGAAATTTAATGTTTCTGTCCACATCTAGGAAGTTTCAAAAGGGCATATAGCTTCTTGGGGCAGAGTGTTACAGGTGTAAAGCACATTGGTGTGCATGATTTCACTTGTTCCTTACAATCAACCCAGATAGGGAAGCAGGAAGGGTACTATTGCTCCCAGTGAGTGGTTTGCCCCAAACAGGGCTAGGTCTCATTCTCAGGACTATCTGAAGTGATGTCATTCTTATATGTCCTTATACTGCCTGGTGCTGTTCTTGGGCTTGTGGCTCGACTGGTGACTGGTAGCACCAAGGTTTCCATGGTGCCCACTTCAGCAGAATGAGAGCAACATTCCACCTTTATGCCATTACTACATGCCTTGGATATCACCTGCCTCTTCTCTTGTGCTAACGACCCTTATTCCCACACTCTTCACCCTGGATGCTCTCACTTGGAGACCAATTCTTCCACACCCCTTCTTCTCTCATATTAAGGCCAGAAGAATGATGACCTACAACATCATGACCAAAGCCAGTTAGGGGGAAAGACCCTGGTCCATACCTGAAGCCACTGCATGTGAGAGTGTGTGGCCTACTGTGGTGTGCCCAGCAAAACCTGAGCCTCAGCCATACTGCACTGTTATCCCAGTGCATGAGGACACCAGGTTTTCTGATTGGCTGAGACTAAAATTTTAATGGGTGCAGGAAAGTACATCTTTGAAAGTATCTGTTACCTAAAAGTGTGACTTGTCTGGGTTGTTTGTATTCCCTGTGAAGTATCTACCTCCATCTTCCATGGGTAGGACCTGTAGTCCACACCCTAGTTCTGCAACAGGAAAAGCGCCCACGGAAGCAAACTGGAGTTTTCAGGCTTCCAGAAGGAGAAAAATCAAAGCTGAAGTCACTTCCATATTTCTTCCTTTCTGCAGCAATGCCCAGTCATAGAAGCAAAGAGAAGTAGGCAGCACAAAAATTGACCAGACCCACACAGCTTAAAACTATAATAGATGGTTCCCAATGTAGACAAGGCTGCTTCTTACAAGATCCCACCTAACATTCACAGACTCCTAGCTCTAGGAGTAAATAGTTCTGGAAAATCTACATGTCTTGTATAAGTTCCTTTCCCAATCTTTGCAGATAATCAGAGAGTCACTAGCTGTCAACCAGAAAGCAGCTTGGTGTCTCTCTTCCTGTCTTCTCAGTTTCAGCTGAGTATGGAATAGGAGGGAAGAAATATCAGTTTTTGTTTGGTACAATCAGTGAATTCCCTAAATCCCTCAAGACTTCATGCAGCCCTGTCTCTTCCTGCCTAGGTACTGCATAGTCTGCTCTAGCCCCTCATTCATATACTCAGAGTCACTCTTCTGGCTCTGACATGATGCCTAGAAGGTCTAGAATAATGTTCTCCAGAACTTTTCCAGCCCTGTCCAATGGAATTCTTGGGTGGGAAATTGGAGGCATTGGATATTACCTTTAAATGAAGAGATCAAATTAATACATTATTTTTAAAATTAGTGTTTATATTTATTTATTTATTGAACACCTTTCTATCTTTATAGAGTAAAATTTGTGTTGAAAAGAATAAACCCAGAATGGTCTGAAATTCCTAGAAAAGGTTAAAGGAGAAATGAGTTTTCTTTATTAGCTATTTCTGTTTTAGAAGACTAGAATGGGAATTTCACTGTTGTGGGAAGGTAATAAATATTAATAGATGTGAGGATGTAGAATTCCTTGACTTCCATTACATGCTTAGAAAGAACAGAAAAACTGCCAGATGTGAAAGGATTGCAGGATAAAATCTGAATGTTTTAAAATGAGGACAACTTACCATACCAGGTGAGCTTCATTCAAGAGAATGACAGAACCTGTTTCTCAATGTGAATAAACACTGAGAAGTCATGAAGAGCACACTTGCTTCGAGTCTGGAATGTAGCCATTCTGACTACTGTGAGATGATATCTCACTGTAGTTTTAATTTGTGTTTCTCTGATGATTAGTGATGTTGTACATTTTTTCATGTGTTTGTTGACTGCTTGTATGTCTTCTTTTGATAAGTGTCTAGTCATGTCCTTTGCCTATTTTTTAAAAATAGGATTATTTGGTTTTCTCTTGTTGATTTAAGTTCCTTATAGAGTCTGGATATTAATCCTTTGTCAGATGCATAGTTTTCAAATATTTTCTCCCATTCTGTAGGTTGTCTGTTTACTCTGTTGATTATTTCTTTTGCAGTACAGAAGCTTTTAAGCCCCATTTGTCAATTTTCACTTTTGTTGCATTTGCTTTTGACGTCTTAGTCATAGGCCAATGTCAAGAAGAGATTTTCCTAGGTTTTCTTCTAGCATTTTTATAGTTTGGCATCCTATATTTAAGTCTCTAAACCATCTTGAATTAATTTTTGTATATGGTGGGATATAGGGGTCCAGTTTCATTCTTTTGCATTTGGCTAGCCAGTTATCCCAGCACCATTTATTGAATAGGGTATCATTTCCCTCATTATTTATTTTTGTCAACTTTGTTAAAGATCAGTTAGATGTAGGTGTGTGACTTTATTTCTGGGTTCTCCATTCTTATCCACTGATTCATGTGTTTGTTATTGTACTGGTACAATGCTGTTTTGGTTGCTATATCCTTGTAGAATAGTTTGAAGTTAGGTAATGTGATGCCTCTGGATTTGTTCTTTTTGCTTTGGATTGCTTGACTATTTGGGCTCTTTTTTGGTTCCATGAGGATTTATTTATTTATTTATTTGAAACAAGGTCTCACTCTATCACCCAGGCTAGAGTGTAGTGGCATGATCTCGGCTCACTGCAACCTCTGCCTCTGGGTTCAAGCGATTATCCCACCTCAGCCTCTTGAAGTAGCTGGGACTATAGGTGTGTGCCACCACCTCTGGCTAATTTTTGTGTGTTTTGATAGAGACGGGGTTTCACCATATTGGCCAGGCTGCCCTCGAACTTCCAACCTCAAGTGATCCCCCTGTCTCAGCCCCCCAAAGTGCTGGGATTACAGGTGTGAGTCACCATGTCCAGCCCCATAAGCATTTTATAATTTTTTTTTCTAATTATGTAAAAAATGACATTGGTAACTTGATAGTAATTGCATTGAATCTTTAGACTGCTTTGGACAGAATGGTCATTTTAACATTATTGATTCTTCCAGTCCACAAACATGGAATGTTTTCCCATTTGTTTGTGTTGTCTATTATTTCTTTCATCAGTGTTTTGTAGTTCTCCCAGTAGAGATCTTTCACCTCCTTGGTGAAATATATTCCTAGGTGTTTTGTTTATTTTGTGTGTGTGTGTGTGTGTGGCTATTGTAAATGGGATTAAGTTCTTGATGTGGCTGTCAGCTCGAGCATTTTTAGGGTATAGAAATGCTACTGATTTTTGTATACTGATGTTGTAAACTGAAATTTTACTGAACTTGTTTATCAAGTCTAGGAGTATTTTGGAGGAATCTTTAGGGGTTTCTAGATACAGGATCATGTCTTTGGTGAACAGAGATAATTTTGCCTCCTCTTTTCCTATTTGGATGGCTTTCATTTCTCCTGACTGATTGCTCTGACCAGGATTTCCAGTACTGCGTTGAATAGGAGTGGTGAGAGTAGACATCCTTGTCTTGTTCCAGTTATTAGGGAAAATGCTTCCAACTTTTGCTATTCAGTATGATGTTCGCTATGGGTTTGCCACAGATGGCTCTTATTATTTTGAGTTATTTTCCTTTGATGCCTGGTTTGTTGAAGGCATGTACCATGCAAGGGATATAAGATTTTATTGAATGCTTTCTGCATCTATGGGATAATCATATGGTTTTTGTTTTTAATTCTGTTTATGTGGTGAATCGCATTTTTTAAATTTGCATATGTTGAACCACCCTTGCATCTTAGGAATAAAGCCCACTTGATCATGATGAATTATCTTTTTGATGTCCTGCTGGATTCAGTTTGCTAGTATTTTGTTGAGAATTTTTGCATCTATGTTCATCAGGGATATTGGCCTGTAGTTTTCTTTTTTATTGTGTCCCTGCCAGATTTTGGTATCAGGATGATACTGGTTTCATAGAATGAGTTAGGAATTCCTCATCCTCAATTTTTTTGGAATAGTTTTAGTAAGATTGGTACCAGCTCTTCTTTGCATGTCTGGTAGAATTCAGTTGTAAAATTCTGTCTGGTTCAGGGCTCTTTCAGATTAGTAGAATTTTTATTACTGATTCAATTTCATAACTCATTATTGGTCTGTTTAGGATTTCAATTTCTTCCTGGTTCAATCTTAAGAAGTTGTGTGTTTCCAGGAATTTAACTATTTCCTCTAGGTTTTGTAGCTTGTGCATATAGTGATGTTCATAGTAGTCACTGAGGATCTTTTGTATTTCTGTGGTATGAGTTGTAATGTCACCTTTGTAATTTCTTATTGTGCTTATTTGGATCCTTTTTCCCAGGTTAATCCAGCTAGCACGTCTATCAGTCATGTTTATCCATTCAAATAACCAACTTTTTATTTCATTGATCTTTTGTATGTTTTTTTGTGGTCTTTATTTCATTTAGTTCTGCTCTGATCTTAGTTATTTTTTTCCTTCTCCTAGATTTGGGTTTTGTTTCTTCTTCTTTTTCTAGTTCTTTAGGTGTGGTATTAGGTTGTTAATTTGAGATCTTTCTGTCTTTTCAAGGTGGACATTTAGTGCTATAAACTTTTAAAAGCGCTAAACTTTTATAAAACACTGCTTTTGCTATATTCCAGAGTTTTTGGCACGTTGTGTCTCTACTTTCGTTTGTTTCCATTTTTTTAAATTTCTGCCTTAATTTTATTGTTTACCCAAAAATGATTCAGTTGTTTAGTTTCTGTGTATTTGTGTGGTTTTGAGAGTTCCTCTTGGCATTGATTTCTGCTTTTGTTCTGTTGTTTGAGAAGATACTTGATATAATTTCATTTTTTTAAGAAATTTATTGAGACTTGCTTTATGACTGAGTATGTGATCAATCTTAGAGAATGTTCTGTGCACAGAAGAGAAGAACGTATATTCTGTGGTTGTTGGATAGAGTATTCTATAGACATCTATTAGGTTAATTTGGTTAAGAGTCCAATTTAAGTCCAAAGTTTCTTTGTTAGGTTTCTGCATCAGTGATCTGTCTAGTGCTGTCGGTGGGATGCTGAAGTCCTTCACTATTGTTGTATGGTTGTCTATTTCTTTGCTTAGGTCTAGTTGTATTTGTTTTATAAATTTGGGTGCTCCAAAGTTAGGTGCATATGTATTTAGGACAGTTAAACCTTCCTGTTGAATTGAATGCTTTCTGATTATATAAGCCCTTCTTTGTTTGTTTTTTTTTTTTTTTTTAACTCTTGTTGGTTTAGTCTGTTTTACTTGATACAAGAATAGCAACTCCTGATCTTTTTTGTTTTCCATTTGCATAACAGATCTCTCTATCCCTTTACTTTGAGCTTGTGGGGGCTATAACATGTGAGATAGGTCTCTCTTAAGGGCCACAGAAAGTATTATATGTAATTTTTTTCCAATTTTCCACTCTAAGGCTTTTTTTTTTTTTTTTTTTTCCCTCTGGAGTCTCACCCTGTCACCCAGGCTGAGTTCAGTGGTGCGATCTTGGCTCATTGCAGCTTCTGTTTCATGGGTTCAAGTGATTCTCCTGCCTCAGCTTCCCGAGTAGCTGGCATTATAGGTGCCCACTACTACACCCGGCTAATTTTTGTATTTTTAATGGAGACGAAGTTTCACCATGTTGGCCAGGCTGGTCTTGAACTCTTGACCTCAAGTGATCCGTCCGCCTTGGCCTCCCAAAGTGCTGGGATTACAGTTGTGAGCCACCACGCCTGGTCTACTCTATGCCTGTTAAATGGAGCTTTTAGGCCATTCACATTCAAAGTTACTATTCATGTGTGAAGTGTTATTCCTGTCATAGTGTTAAGCTAGCTGCTTTGTAGACCCAATTATGTATTGCTTTATAGGGTCTATGAGCTTTGTAATTACATGTGCTTTTATGGTAGCAAGTACCATCCATGTTTAGAACTCCTTTGAACATTTATTACAGAGCCTGTCTGGTGTTAATGAATTTCCTTAGCATTTCTCTGTCTGGGAAAAACTATTTCTCCTTCATTTATGAAGCTTAGTTTGGCAGAGTATGAAAGTTTGACAGGCCTTTTTTTTTTTCCCTTTTAGGTGGCTAAAAGTAGGCCGCGGTCTCTTCTGACTTGTAAGATTTCCGTTGAGAAGT